GGACAGGAGGAGGACAGGAGGCCGGGCTGCAGTGGATTTGAGCAGGGACCGAGGGAAGGCCGGAGGGGAAGCGCAGAGGCCAGGGAGACAGGCAGTTTGTCTGGGGGAAGCCTCTCACCTGAGGATCTCTTCCAGTTTGGTGACCAGGCACTGATAATTTTTCTTCAGTTTGTTGTTATTCGTGACCCAAGGCTTTCCCCGGTTGTATACAAACTTTTCCCAGCAGTGTTCAAATTCTGAGATCAAAGAGGGAGAAAGCAGTCAGCGCCTGGCAGGCCTCTCTCCCCTGCCCGTTCAGATGGTCCCCTGCCAAGGCCAGGTCTCCTGGGTGCAGTGGGGGTCCACCTGGCTCAGGCCTGGCCAGGATCCCCTGGAACCCTGAGCCTCTGCTGGTGTCCAGACCCGTGAGTTCCCCACGGTGCAGCCGCACTCTTGATGGCCACTTCTCACCTTCATGATACATGATTTGCACCTTGGCCCCTTCCTCATCCATCCTGAGGAACCCCTGCCGGTAATCCTGTCTCCAGAAGTAGTAGAGGCGGGCAGTGAGGATGGTCAGGCTCACACTTGGGTGTTTGGACAAAAAGTCAGCCACGTAGTGTGCACAGTTGGCACAGGGACTCCAGGAAACGTACCAGGTGACCTGGTAGACCTGGTCAGACGACATCGTGCGCTGGAACCAAGTGAGGAAGCACAGTTCTGTGTGCCAAGGAGTATTTCGAGGACCCTGGGAGAGGAGGAGGAGGGAAGGGGGTGCTCTGGGTGGAAGGGCAGGCAGATGTAGGGGTGGGGCAGTGGCAGGAGGGCAGGCCCTGGCCAGGTGACCCCCGGCATTTGGTTCCTGGAAATTCCTCCATGCCTCCTGCCATGGTCTGCATGTTTGTCCCATCCACACCTCAAATTCAAATTCAATCGCTTTGTACTGGTGTTAAGAGGTGGGACCTTGGCCAGGCACGGTGGCTCACACCTCTAATCCTAGCACTCTGGGAGGCTGAGGCAGGAGGATCACTCGAGGTCAGGAGTTTGAGACCAGCCTGAGCAAGAGTGAGACCCCGTCTCTACTAAAAATAGAAAGAAATTAGCTGGACAACTAAAAATATATAAAAAAAAATTAGCCGGGCATGGTGGCGCATGCCTGTAGTCCCAGCTACTCGAGAGGCCAAGACAGAAGGATCCCTTAAGCCCAGGAGTCTGAGGTTGCTGTGAGCTAGGCTGACGCCACGGCACTCTAGCCTGGGCAACAGAGTGAGACTCTGTCTCAAAAATAAATAAATAAATAAATAAAGAGGTGGGACCTTTAAGAGCTTATGAGTCCAGGAGGACTCCCCTTGTGGGCAACTGGTGCTGTTGCCAAAGATGGGTTCAGCTCCTCTTGATGTCTCTGGCCCTCCAGCCCCAGTGTCGCACTTCAGGTTGAGCTCTTGCTTCCTCTCGTCTCCATGTCATGGGACAGCAGTGACATAGTCTCCCAGGCCGCCCATCTGGGCCCAGCCCTAAGCTTCCTCACAAGTACCATGTGATAAGGCACCGGAAAGCCACCAGGAGTTGCTGGCACCTGGGTCTGGGCTTCTGAGACTTCAGAACTGTGAACCGATATATTTCTGGTCCTTATAAATGACCTCTTCTGAGTCACTCCATTATAGTATCACCAAATAGACAAAGACACTCCCCTTCTCCTCTTTCACACTCGAGTCTGCCCTGGCCCCGCTCCTGGCTCCTGCACTGGCTCCAGCAGCCTCTCCAGGCGTCCGTCCAGCAGCCACCCTGACCCCTGCCTGGTC